AACCTTCAGAATTTCTATATTAACAATATTCTTGTAAAGCTCGGATTAAGGAGCCTTGGTTTTTCCGTAGTTTATCATTGCAACATGAAGTGTTTGTACTTCCAAATTCAGTCTGGGTTGGTGTCTGAAGCCAGTGTGAAGTATTTATCACAGCCTGTTAGGATCAGTAGGAGTGAGAATACTGTAGTCTTTACAGTTTTTCTTCTCTGTATTCTGCCTGAAAGTTGTCCAACTGAATTTGTAGATTGTTGTTGCACTTCATACAACTGCCAGATTCCCTGGCTTACTCTGAAATCTTGTTAGAAGCCAACTGTGTGTGTCAGAGTGGATCATGAGCAGCTTTTTACTATCACTGCCTCAACAGCAAGCATGGACTTGGAATGGTTGAGTAACCATTTAAGGTTAGGTCTCAGATTTAAGCTTTTCCACGTTGCTGTCATCTTAAGTGCTGTATAATTGAGTTTATTGCTGTCTACTATTGGAAGCATTCTTTAAAAGAGAAGGTGGCTTTGTTTTACTTAGAATAATAAAGAAATAGAACATAGTTTTCAGGTTTTAAAAAAAAAATCTTTCATGGAGAATTAAAAAAAAAAAAAATCCTTAGTCATTTCTGGTTCTTACTGACCTGTATGGCAAAACACAAGCTTTGTTAGTCAGCAATGTCTTTCCAGGGAAGAGTCTTGAAAACATTATGTAGTACTTAAAAAAATAAATAAATAATAATAATAATAAATAAAGCATTCAACCTGAGAAGTGATTGCGTTACAGAATGCTGGTCTCCTTAGAAGGTGTTTTATCCCCAAACTGTCGGGAGTTGTCCAAGAATCTCCCTCATTGTATTCTGATGCTGGAGATTTGAAACCTGAAAGGTTTTCTTCAAAGAGCTTCTGAATGCCCACAGTGACTTGGAAGGAAGCAACAGCTGCAAAGGAAACAGTGAAAAAGATTATGAAGTCTGTTGTAAAAAGAGTTTGTAGTGATTAAACCAATAAGATCTGTAGTCAAAGTCTGATGTGCTTCATTTTTCATTAACAATTGGCACAGACTCACTATGCAGCAAATGTGGGACTCTTAAATGGTGTGTTTGTTTAAATTCATCACCTCCTTGGAGTTGAATCTATTATTTGATCATCCCAAGCAGAATGTCAGTTCTTCTAAAGGATTGTTTCTTTACCTCATTTCAAAGTTTCAGCTGCTGTGATTCCAATGTCTTCTCTAATTTTCAGCTACAGACAGCTGTAGAGGAGGCAGTTCTTACTGACTGGAACAGGCAAGGGGTTGCCTTTCAGTTTCACTAAGCACGTGCTCATGTTTTGTGTTTCTATTCTGTATGGATAGATAAACATTGATGCTTTAAGACTCTTCTGTTAAAGTAATCAAGCAATCTTTGCAGTGTTGTCTTTTGTGCAAGTGTTACAAATTGCTGAGGTTTATTTTCATGCAGTTGTTTAACCAGTACTTCCAGCTCCAGGAATCAACAAGGCATCATCTATTTAATTTTTTAAATCCCACATTGTGTAGACTGTTGGAAATTAATTAAAAACTCTCTCCTGAATAAATTGATTGAACTGATTGTTGAATTCCCTGCACATGCAAGTATTATTTGAGCAAATTAGTGGTGCTGTATTTGAAAGGGAAAAGGTCCAGGCTTTGTAATAGTTCTTTTTACTAAGATTGTGATTAACAGATATAAGTCTTAATGCAATGCTTCCTCTAAATGCAAGCAGTAGAAGTTACTCTTCCATGTTTTTTTTTAAACTATATTTTAATGTGCTTTCACTGTTTTATGGATATGCAGTTTGATTTGAAAATTATAATTCAGTGCTTCTGTTATTAGAGGGATGAATATGACAAATGTGGAGAAAGTGAGTTAAATCAAGGAGAAATAATCTTATGAGGGATCATCTGCAAACAAAGATTGGGAGGCTTATATAAAGGAAAGCTGTCTGAACTACAACTACATGAAACTTCACTAATATATGCATACAGCTCTGTGCTTTTGGGTTTGGGTGGATTCTTAACTGCAGCTCTGGAGGCTTATCAATACACCGCGTGTTCAGCATTTAAATGAAATACAGCCAAAAAATTGTGAGATGCAGCATATTTGTGGTATTTATATCCCTCAGTTGTGTATGAAAGAATGTAGTTAGAAAGTGGTCCCCAGGTAATGCTGGTATTGCTTCCTGGAGCCTTTTACCTAAGATGTAGTTAAGGATTATTAATGGTCCTCTTTTGGCACCTGATCAAAAAGCTTGTAGTTTGGGTAGGCAGTGTATTGCTGTTCTGCTGCTTTCCTCTCCATTGCCTTTACTTTTCCAGTATTACTACTGACTTCTCCTTTCTGTTCCATTGTTGTCCTGTTGTTCAAGCCACAGATTCTCAAATATTCTCTTTCTTAATGAAGTTCATGCAATCAAGTTCTGAATTTTTAGATTTCAGTGTTTTGAGGATTTCAGCCTGTTTGTTCAAATGTATTTTTGCTTTGGTCCTGCATTGACACTAAGGAACAGTGTTTATAACCTTACCATTTGCTCTATTTGCAATCAGATATCCAGTCTTCAATTATGATAGATAGAAGAAACTAATTTCTAATTATTAATACTAACTTGCAACTCTGTATGGATTGCAAGTCAGATCGTACCTCCGAGTAAGAAAGCTCTTGAGCAGAAAACTTTTAGAGAGATCCTGAATGGATGACTTCCTCTCTTTTCTGTAGGGGAAGTTTGATGTATTGGGAGGAGATATTTCTGATATTTTTTTTCCTTATGCAATTACTTAAAAGTTCAGGTGAAAACTCGCATACATTGAATTCATGTGTTCTAATTTGATATATGTATTTATTGGAAAAGCTAAAGAAGTGGACTCTGAGGTTTTTTTTGTTCTACTTCCCACCCCCCCACCCCCCCGCTGGCATCTTCTACATAATTTATCCTTTCCAGTGATATGTGCAATAATTATTTTGGCTGATCACATACCTCTTATCTAGTTACTTAGTCATATGACAAATGGTTTTAAATTAAGATGGGAGATTTAGGTGAGGTATTAGGAGGAACATTTTCGCACAGAGGGTGGTGATGCACTGGATCAGGCTGCCCAGATAGGCTGTGGATGCCCCGTCCCTGGAGGTGTTCAAGGCCAGGTTGGATGGGGCCATGGGCAGCCTGGTATAGTATTAAATGTGGAGGTTGGTTGCCCTGCATGTGGCAGGGGGGTTGGAGATTCATGATCCTTCCAACTCTGGCCATTCTGTGGTCTTTGAGATCCTATTCAACCTAGGCCATTCTATGATTCTGTGGCACATTACACTGCAGGTAAGGAATAGTTGCATTTTTTTTCTTTCCCTCCATGAGTAATACAGAGTAAGATTTTTTTTTTTTTTTCCTGTGGCTTCGAAGTTAAAGATAACTGACTGAAGAATTGTATGAAAGTTGGGCAGTAATTGGAAGTGCCATAGGCAGGTTTAATCGAGAGGCTATGGTTCGGATGTTATTTACATGCAGTGTGTTTAATCTTGTTATAGAATCCAGCGTAGGTGATGTATGCTACCTAAAAAAGGCTCCTGAGAAACTGTGTAAAGACAGTTTGCTGTTATCTGTAGCAGTCTCAAATTTGCTCCATTCAAATGAAAGGGGTTTTTTTGCAATGCAGTGCAAGAGTGAAGAAATTATGAAGTGTAAGAAAGGTGTTTGTGCCAATTACCTATTACATAACTGGCACAGTATTAGACAAGGGAAATATGAATCAACTTGCTCTAGGCTTTCCTGATTGGCAGAGTGTTCTTAAGTGTTCTGCTTGATTCATGCTAGTGGTTTAGATGTGGGAAACTATAGAGATAACTTAAAGGAGCAGCCGAGCCCTAATACTACCTTCCTGAAATAATCCTTCCTGTTTAATATTGCTTTAGTGCTTCAGTTTATTGGATATCACTCCTAGTTTTATGGAAGCTCTGAAACAGTTATTTATTGATATTGCAACAGCTGCAATACTGAACACCTTGAAAAACCTTTTGAACAAACGAAACATTTCAGTCTGAATCTCTTTAGGGGAAAGTAAGTGAACTGGATCCAAGTATTGCTGCATCGAGTCTTCCGTTACTGTCTTAGGGAGAATGATGAAAGTTTCCATGTAGTCGAAGGGTGGGGTGGGGGTGCAGGAGGAAAAACTGCTCCATTATCAGTTATGTTTTGTATATCTTGCACTCCTGTGTAGCCATCTGCTGTTAGCTCCCTTTAGAGGCAGTGCTTCAGGAGAGGTGAAACTTGGGTCCAGCTTTGACATGTTGGTTCCTATTGTGTGGGTTGTTGTCTGCTGACTGCAAGCGGACGGAGAGGGCTACTAGAACTTCTCTGCAGATTTAAAATCTGTAGATGTTCCTGGCTTTCTAGTGACACCTTTTTATTCCTTTCCAACAATATTAAGATGCCTTATGCTTCAGAATGCAAAGTAATACCAGTATTTCTGAATGCTGTTGATTATTATTTGAAGCTGAGGTGACCAGTTGAGGAATGACTTTCAGCCTTATTCCTTAGTCATGGAATTAAAAGCAAATCAATTAAAAACTTTAATTAAAAGTAAGCCCCCTCACATCCAAACAAAACAAAAAAATAGCAGTTCAGTAATTAATTCTATGTTTGTATGGTATGTCTGACCAAACATGTTCAGTTTGCGTGATTTTGCTCTGCTGTAGGACTTCCAACAATTCCACTTTATATTCTGAGAAACTGTAACACTTTCATTTTGTTGACTGAGGCTGAAAGCATTCCGGAGGTGATCAGTAGGAGGGGAAATTTTTGTCTGATTTAATTTTGAAACCTTTACTTAATCTAATAATGCATGTAAAGATGTTGTGTTGGGATTTCCTTTCTGTGCAATCAGCATCCTCCTGTGCGTGTCTAGAGCAACATTAGTTGAGACAAATTCTCATCGTGCAACCAAATACCGTGTGATTTAGAACATTTCTTCATCTGCTGTGTTGAAACAGGCACACGGGAAGGCGCCTGGCATTACTGCTCCTGAGTTTCAGTGAGTAGTTACTCATGACTTCAGGATTGCCTTCAGTCAGAAATCTTGAAGTGCAGCTTTGGTGGGTGGGTCTCTGAAGAATTTGAAAGAGTTGTGCAGATGGGGCGTGTTTACTTCTGTCGAAGTAGTGACTGCAATGCCTCTTCGTGGCTAATGTGTGTGTGTTCTCTTTGGCTGCAACATCATAAAGGTAGGAATTTCTTTCGCTCTTTTTTTTTTTTTCTTGCTTCCCTACATTAGGATATGGTCCAAACTGTTAGCATGTCGGCTTTATAATGACAACTTGTAATAGATTCAGATGGTATAGATGTGAAGAGATCTTATATTGCTAAGTGTTCCAGCCTATGAGAACTGCTTTTCTTTTTGAAGAAGGTAAGTATGGATTACAGTTGTACTTCTGCATCTTGTATCATCATTCTATTTAAAGTGCTACTAAGAACACTTAATTCTAAACTGGAAAGGAGGAAAACTTGAGTAGGAAAAATGTTAGCTAATGATGTAAAATGCTTGCATAGGAAACTGAATTTAGATTGCTTGAAAAAGCTAGTTCTAGTTTTTTATTCTCTAAAATGAATTGCTATTCTGTAACTAACTCAGTTTAACAGTTTTACGTATGACTTACCTGTTACAGGTCTGGTGTCTAGTGCTGTGAATGACACATTTAAACCAGCTACCAGAAGTGGTTATTTCACAGTAACACTATAAAACTCAGAGTAATGCTGTATATTTCTTCCCTCTTACTTTTTGTATTGCATACCTATTTTTAGCCAGCTTTTTAGCTTGGATCAAAACTTCAGCTGGAGTGCCGCTGTTGATGAAGAGACTATGCTGGTATGCATTAACCGAAGGTTTCTCTTGCATTTGTTATGACATGAATAGGATGCCAAGCAGAGGCTGCAATAATGAAATACCAGTTACGTTCTGACTCCTCCTCTAGTTGGCTTTGTGGGTGGAGAATGTATGGGCAGGTTAAACCGCAAAGGAGGGGATAACCAACAGGTGGAGAACTAAAAACAGTGGAGCACAACAGACTTGATCTGATTCAGGGTGATGAGGAGATGAGCACACAAGTTTGAGTCACTGTGCGTATGTGATAGCTGAAGACCTTGACTGTCCACCAGCCCCTCTTTCAGGAAGCTGTGAATGACAGCTCTCCAGAGCGAAACTGCACCGGTGCTGCCTCTTTCCCTGATTCCCAAGAGCTAATTTAAAATGTTGAGTCATCTGCTGTGCCGGTGAAGAAGCTTACATCCTTTGCTTTTACACCCTCAGGTCCTCTCTCCAGTTCCTGATTGTTCTGTTACCTTCACATATTTTGTGACTCTGCTGTACTTAGTGCAGCTTATGTTCTGACAAGTTTTACTAATGAGTTCTAGAAGGAAGTGGTGTCCCTCTAGGTCTGCTCAAACTTATGAGCTAAGCATCTAAGAACATGTAGTTCTGACTGAGCTTTCTTCATAGAACTGTATTTTTTTCTTAAACTCTAAATTACTGCGTAGCTCTTTATCCAACTCTGTCAGTGTCAGGGATTTTAAAGCTTAGAGACAGGCGTAGTTTGCACTATAATTATACTTAGTGAGAACTATTTTTCACTCTTTTAAGCTGCCTGAGATCTACTGAAGCAAATACATACGCTCAGGTTTTATCTTTGACTAGTATAGTAGCTTTCACCCAGAAAATGAATTCTTTCAAGCAGTCCTGATTCTCTTTCCCCTGTACAACAAGGGAAAGTGTAATAAAACTCACTTGCCACCTTAATTGAGATTTACTTCATGCTATTTTGGCCTGCTGTGATACAGAAACCAAGTTACAAGGCAATGTGATAGAATAGTAAAAGAAACAGAATATTCTAATTGCCTTCTAACTAGGGACTTGTAATTGTTTACAGTTGAAACTTGTCCATATTAAGGAGTGAATTTGAAGTTAGGGGTCTCATAGCGATCTTAATTCAGCTCTGTTATGTGTATAAAGTATTTCAGTGTTTCATCATAAGAACCTTTAAGTCCAACAGCTCTTTCATTTTGTGCTTCCATTAGTTGTATGCATAGGGTGGGTAAGATGTCATTCATGCTGTTGGGAATCTTTGGGCAACACGCTGGCCAGTATTAGCAGAACATAGATCTGTGGCTGAAACTTGTGTGTTGCCTCTAGCAATTATTGCTTAGTCTTAAGCAAAACAAAAATAAAAGCTGTAATAGAGTTCTGATCTTATTTACTCTTTTAAAGATCAATGGCTTGGAACAGCTTTGCTATCTTTTTGATATATGATGCTCTTGATAATTTTTTTTCTTTCCAAAACTCACTGAACCAGCTTAAACAGTTCTACCAGGCAATGGCATTAAATAGGAAATTTATGTTATTCTTGCTTTTTCTTGGTTTGTCCTTTTTCTATTACACCTCCAGAGTGGTACTGAGCAGATATTCTAGGAAAGATGCTGAGTGAAACTACTTTTTCACTTGCATGTTGGTGTTGGTGATTTATTGAGTTTTCCAGCATATTCAGTAAGTGAAGATAAGAGGTTCTTTTAACAATTCCTTTGAATCTGGATGTCACTTTCCCTTAATTCTGGTTTTGGAAATTCAGTTTTTGCAAAGAAGGGGCTTTTGCTTGGAGGATAAAATCAAGACTTGCCTATTTCTTATTAGTTTTTTCCTTATACTGTAGCAGTCAGTAACTAAACTTCAAAGCAGCTCCTGACTTGGATTTTCAAAATCTAACACGTAGTTTCTGGCTTTTGTCAAAGCAAAATTTGTCATTTTTTTTGTTTAACATCAGTAAAAATATAAGTGTTTTTTGGAAAAGAGATTGAAAGGAAGGTTCACTTTGGTACTTCCCAACTGTGTAGGCTTTTTAATTACAAAGGATGCAGTTCCTAAACTAGCCATTCCTGATTTTCCTGTTTTATGCTAGCCCAGTTATAGTACTAGATTAGGCTACAGAAGAGATCCTTAGCAAGGAGTTGATTAGATGTATTTACTTGGAGTGTTTATTTTCCAGGATACAGGGGAACCTTCCAATTTTCTGAAATATCTGTTTTATTGTTAGACTGATTTTTATTTATTTTTTTTTTTTCAGATCCTTTCAGAGGAATAGCAAAAATTCCAGTTTTGTCAGTGAAAAATGACAAAATGAGGAGCTATGAGATATGGTTTAGTGGCTTATGGTAGCAAGAGTAGTGGGAGGACAGCTGGACTAGATGATCTTGTAGATCCTTTCCAATGCTGTGATTCTATGATTCCTCACCCCTTTCTTTCTCTTCTATGAAAATAAGTGGCAGCAGTTATTTGGGAAGTAGTAGGTATTTTCACCCTAGGTTGAGCAGAGTATCTGTCACTGAGCTGTTGTTTTCACACGTGATGTATAGCTGTTTCCTTGGCACTGTTAGAAGCTGCAAGGAAGAAGTTCTGAGCTCAGCAATCCTAGAAAAAGGATGTTTGTGCTGGGCAAGGTTTCAGATTTCTTATTAGAGCCAATCCTGAGTCAGACTGGGCCTTTGCAGCTGCTGCTGATTCTTTGGAAGCAGAGTGTGTATGACAGCACAGTCTGAGAGTAACAACTCATGGCAATTTATGCAAGCTACAACGACTGGCCTTCTTTGAAATCTAGTATCTACAGCCTGATTCCAGCACTGGAAAGGGCTGCCACCACTTGGGCTTATTCTCTGTGTCTTTGTGCTGTCACAGGCCCATGACAAAAGTGAGCATCCTCTAGTTTTATGCTGATGCTGTGGGAAAGCAAGCCTGGATCCTGACAACTGCAGTCACAGCACTTCTCAGGGGTGAGGATTTCTTGGCAGTATAAAAAGAGCTTGTTGCACAACACTTCACTTGCCCAAGTACTGAGAAACTGGTTCTCCCATGTTCCACCTAGATTTCATGCACTGTATGAGGTGATGCCTTTCTATATGGCTATTGCTGTACATAGGCCCTGTTCCTGGGTGGCAGAAAAGACAGCTGAAACATCTCTACCTATTTATTTGTCTCTACCACAGGAGGTACCAGTGGCGAATGCCTTTCACTTCACATGCATGCTGTGGGCACTTGAAGAGGTTACTGGTCTTCCTGACCTGTTAGATGTAATAAGCTGCCAAAAATAATTGGGTTTAAAACAAAACTAGACAGTATAGACAAAACAGTTGAAGTACATGCAAGTGCTTATGTCTGCTCTACTTGTAAGACACCACAACTATAGCCCATAGGGAAAACCATAGAGGAAAAAATACACAACGTGAAAATTTTCTTTCTGATGGCACTGGAAATGTTCTGAAAATGTCTTTCTCTCTGCCATTCAGTCTATTGCCTGGTGAACTGACATGGAGTAAGGGATTCTTCAGAGAGAAATGTCTCTCTGCCACAGTTTCACCAGATGCCTGGTAATCGGGAGGGGGCATTAGCAAATGAAAATAGTTTTTTTGTAACAGATAGCTTGCTAGAAACAAATGAACTGTGCGCCTTCTTTATTACCTATTCCCCATCCTCTGGCCTCTCATTTTGCATGTCTCACAGCCATTGTTAATGGCTGTGATCATTGATCAAATGATCAAAAAATTTAAATGGAAGCTCTCATAAGGTAGAGAAAGCTGATAATGGGAGTTAGCATCTGGGACAGTGGTTGCTGTAGATGTGATGAGTAAGGCACAAAGCAGGATTATTGGTATTGGTCATGCTGTGGGGTAGCTAAAATAACCTTTAGGGTGGAGAGGTTAGGATGATGATTAGTTATTAAAAGTGTAATTGAAAATCATGGGGGAATAGCCCCAGTACCTGAATAACCTCTATTACAGAAATGGGAATCTCCAGAACTGTCCAGGGAACGACCTGACTTGCTGTAGTGAAAACAGTGTAGGGTGAAAGTCCAGTTCAAGAATAATGAAGCATAGCAAGCTGTGCAAACAGGTGTAGAATCTCATCAATGGTTTTCTAAGAATTTCTTGAACAGCCATCAATAGGGATGGTCTAATCTGCTGTGCACCAGGCAGAACCTGTTTGAAATACAGGGTTTTACACGAGAAAGAGTTTCAGAGAACCCACTTTTCTGTGACTCTAGTTGGAGTTTCTGAGCAAGGATTTCTATGGACATCTGTGGGCTCTGGGTCGGACCCCAAATTCCAGAATTTCCTTGGATATTGAAGTTAAGGACGTGCTTATGAGCTTTAAATGAAGGTGTATTAACTAATACATGACCTGTGAAGGTAGTTGCCTTACTATATGACTGTGTGTGAAAGGAAAGCATGAATTGCTTAGATACCAAGAATCCAGTTTTGAAATGCACATTTCTGGGTCCCTGTAGGGTTTGAGTGTTCTGGGTGCATATTTAGTCACAGCCCACCTTCTGTAGTCCAATTGTTAGTGCTCTTTCCACTGTGTTTTAATAGTGGCCAATTTAACTTACAGTTACAGTTTGTGATAACTTGCAATGAACTTGCAATGCAGTCTAGTTTAAAAACACAGATACATAAAGGAGCACAGTGAAGTAATGAATGTCTCCCCTGGTCTTTTAGGGGAGCATGTCTGCAAGCTTTTCTGCCTGACATAAAATGTCATGTTTCAAAGCTCTGTTTCATTATCATGGCGCCTGCTAGCCGTAATTAAGGGTCTGTTAGCAGCCCCATTATAAATCCTGACTTCCAGGAGTTTATAATTCAGCAGTAAAGAATTGCTCTAGGCTGAAACTTGGCTTATAAAGTCTCAGGGAAGGAACGACTGTGATTTCTTCATCCTTTGTTTTTGCGTTTGCTTATACACACGATCCATTCAGTAGATTTTACTGTCCCCTTTTGGCATTTAAAAAGACTAAATGGTTGAGTTATTAATATTTCAGTATTGACTACTGTTCATGGCCAGTAAGCTAATTCACAGTGCTTGTTAACCCAGCTCTGTTTGGGTACAAGTCACAGTTTCACAAACCTGCTGCAAGTCTTCTGATTAGTGGAAACAGCCCTCCGTGGATTGCAGCAATTACTCATTAGCTGTTGATTACAGTGGGTTTCAGGACTCTAAATCTGGGAAGCCTGTGCTGTGTGAATGCATGAAGCTGGGTGTCCTGATATTGCACAGGTGAAAGTTTACACGTGGCTGTAGGCAAACCTGGATTTGTGTTGTCCCTGTTCAGTACTGGAGGAACATGAAAGGCTCTGAACCGCTATCTGTCCTCGGCCTGATTTATTTAGTCACTTGATCCTATGCAAATGGGTCACTGAAAGCTCTTCCGATGGGAAGTTTGACACGATGAAGAGGCTTGGCTGGATCTCCCAGCCTGACTGTTTCTTCATTCAAACTATGGTTTCATAAAATCAGTTATTTCCCCTAAACAAACAAACAAACAAAAAAATATGAGGGAATGTTATCATGTTATTCAGTGTTATTTCTCATTGAAGTTATAGAAAGATTACTTCGGCCTTCTGTTTTTATTCTATTTTAGAATATTTTCATAGGATATATGTAAAAAAAAAAAAAAAGTTTGGACAAATTGTAAAGATCTTACAATTAAATGAGGGGAAACAAAAACGTCTACATTCATAATGTAGAATGGGAGGGTTGAAATTGAGGCTTTGAAAAGAGCAAAATTTTTGGGTTTAGTGAAACAATCTTTTCCTTCAAGAACAGATTTTTGACGTTTTGTTCTGATCCCTAAACATGCTTATTGCACTCTGTAACTGCTATACTTGGTCCTGTGCATAGTGGTGTTTATAAATTGGGATCAAAATGCATGTTACAAGTAGTACATCAAATAGCAGTAACTCAGCAAAATGCCTTCACTAATGCAAGACTGAGTCACCCTCTGGACTTTCTCCTTTTCTTCCTCCCATCCTCCTAGTCCCTTACATTAAATTGAGAAGAGTGGCCTAGGGGACATCAGTTCTCATTTGTGTCACTTGTATCTTGTGTGATAGATTAGAAACAGTTATCTGGTCAAATCTTTTACAATATTAAATAACCTCATTTGAATGACAGAAATGAGACTGCAGATTTAAAACAAACAACCAAGAAAACAACAGAAGTACTGATTTCAACGATTCTATGTTCATTTATACCAGCTAAAGATCTAAAGATTGAGGTCTGTTTTCTCTTCCATTAGCACATAATCCCCCTGCATGCCTGCAGTAGCACTATGGAGTGCCTCTGCTGGTCCAGCAGTGTGAGCACAACCTGTGCTGGTCAGGGAGCGCGTTCGTATGGGACCCAAGTCTCCTGTTTTATTTGCTTGTACCTTATCTGTAGGAAATGTCCTGCCAGCGGGGAGCCACTGCTTTTCACAAAGTTCAATATGTTTTGTTTCCTGTATTTTTTTTTTTTTTTTTTAAATACAAGGGGAATAATTTTTAACCATCTTTTCATTTGCTTAGCATGGCGCATATATTAAAGACGCTCAACAGCTGGTTCTGGTGGGAGAATATTTGGATGCCAATCAATTGCACATGGGCAGATTTCGTAGACCGCGATGGCCTCGTCTTTCCAAAGCCACAACAGTTGTATGCCACAATACCATATGCTTTTGTATTGCTGATTATCCGGTTCTTCACTGAAAGGTAAGAAGTATGAATTCAATTTTGTGTTCTTGTTAGTTTTCCGTAATGCTAAAAAATAATTTGAGAACAAGGTATCATTACATTCTTATGTATGAAGGTTAGTTGGTAGTCTGCTAAAAATACCTACTGTCAAAACAGTGGAAGATGAAAAACTTGGAGATAGTTTCACTGCTAGGAATGTGATTGCAGCCCAATCTAGAAAGGTGTTCCTATACAGCTGTTCTAGAATAGCATTTGGATAACTCTAGTTATGCACTTTGAATAAAGTTGCAAACTCTCCAGAAACGTTTTGGTTTCTTCTTTATTTTTCCTCCTTTGGTAGAAGCACAGTTACTGCTCCTTCAAACCAAACCTCTCCTTTTGGATCAGCACACGAGGCTGATCAATCCCAGGTGTCCAAATGGAGCAACCTGAGGCAAACTTGAGGAATGAGTTTCTTCTTTTTTTTTCCCTAACAAGTTGTATTGCTTCTGCAACTGGAATTTTAATGGTACAAGCAGAAGTTGGTTCCATAGAAGAAAGCTACAAAAATGTTGAAATTTGTAGTGTTTTGACTTATTTGTGTAGCTTTACTTTTCTCTATAAAGAAAGTGATTAGTAGGTTTTTAATTATTTCAGGATAGAATGAGGAAACTTGGAATGTCATAAGTTGGACAGGCTTGACACAGAGCCAGGTAAAATCATTCATATTAGAGATCAAAAGTAATTTGGATCACATGTTTATAACCATTCATAGTGTCTCCTGAGTAAATGCTTGCCTGGCTGTCTCACTGGACTACTACTGAAAGTTGCTCATGTGAAAAATTAGCCCACACATCTGGCATGCAGTGAATCTGCTCATGAATGAAGAGAACTGACCACTGCTGGAAGTAGCAGAGAATCAATTGCTGATATCAGTAGAGGCAAGGGGCTTTTCTCGGAAGAGCCTGCCCGAGCAGAAGGGCAAAGCAACTGGCATGCTCTGTAGCACCTTGAGGGCAAAGTGGAAGAGAAGGAGAAGCCCTCTGCTGCGTGCCACATGCTAGAGGCTGTGTGGAGAATCTTGTTTCCTGGGCCATGGCAGCCCATCACAGTATGTCAAGTGGCTCTCTGCCTCTAAGAGAGTATCCCAGAAGCAGTCTTCCAGCACAGCTCATATAAAGAAACCAGTTGTTCTTGTTTTGTGTACCCTTAACTATTGCAGAACTCAAAAAAAAAAAAACAAAAAAACAAAAAAACAACAAGATAAAGTTTAGAGTTTTTCCTTTAGCTTTATATCTTTTCAGGACCACGAGCTCAAGTAATTGGATCTGCATTTTCAAGTAGCTGCTAATATGCTATTGTTCTCTCTTGGGATCAGTTAGTGAGATCTTTTTTTTTTTTTTCTTCCTCATGGTACATGGTCATATTCTATGGACAATTGAAATGCTTCAGAATTACTTCATATCCTGTCGTGAGAACAGCTGAGGTCTTGTAACTGTGTTGCATTTTTTTAAGCTTTTCATTGCATGTTTTTTCAGATACGTTGCTATTCCTCTAGCAAAAGCCTTAGGTATAAAGAATGTGAGACGTGTGAAGCCGCAGCCTAATCCTGTTTTAGAGAGTTATTTCCGGGAGTGCTCAAGACATCCATCTCAAGTAAGAGATCCTTTTGTACTAGTTTTGGTTCTTGGAAAATCACAGGCTTTACTGTTTCAATAAACGGTCAACAATGACCACGTGGGATGAGTTCCATCTGATTGACAGATGACTTATTTGGGTTTATGTTGCTGTTCTGCTGGCAAGGGTATATAGCATCCAAACTAGATGCTGTATTTTCTGGTATGTTAGACTCTAGGAAGTATTTCCAATGAAGATCAGTGCTTCATCATCTTTAACTCTTTCTGCCTGGAGAAAACATCAGCTGATGTCTGTTGTTGGGGAGTGGTATTATATTTATTGCATGTATTGACATTGGGACTCTGGGATGGAAGCCCTTTGATCTGTTACTGCATACTTTGATATACTGCTGCATATTTAATCCTGGTTCATGAAAAAGAAATATCTGTGCATTACCTTGCTGTCTATTTTCAAATTTAAACAAGTAAAAGATAAAAGCCAACATTTACCATCCTGTAATATGAAGCAACCTGATTGTTGACGAGAAAGAGGTACCTTGCTGTGATTGCAATCTCAAAGCTCATTTAATTGACTACAAATACAATGGCAGCTTTCCTACACTGGTTTTGAAAATAATTATGTACTCAGCTGATTATTAATACCTTAAACTTTGTTCTAACTCTGACTTTGCTTCACTTCCTATTTTTTTTTTTTTTTTTTTTGCCTCATATTGTGAGGAGTAGATGTATTCATGTTCACACGTGAGCTCTTTTCTATCTGGACCAGTGTCTTGATCTCTGCTTCATAACTTCCTTTTGCATGCGTGCAGTTTGCCAATTAATTTCTGAAGGGAAGCACAGCATTTGCATTTTTATATTTTTCAATGTACATAGAATTCAGGCTGCATCCTTTAGGTGTCTGGCTTAGGGACCAGTGTGTCTGAGAGTGCATGCAGAGGCCTGGCTGTCATCTGAGGACATCTAGGCTCCACTGTCTGTCAAAACAAAGTCAGTATTCCTGTGTGACGAGTGGAACACCCTTCTGAATAGAGAGCCTGTTTGCAGTGCTGCGCTCCCCAGCAGGCAAACTATCCTTTGCTTACATACCAGAGCTTTTTTCCAAGGGAAGGAGACCAAGTGAACTGGACTTACCTTGGCAGAAAGTGATGCTACCACCCAGTATTTGTATGCTAGCCTCAGGGTGAATTGCTTCCCTAGGGGGGTGAGTTGAATGCTGCCTCCATGTCTGCAGCAGCTTCAGGGCAGATCAGCCCACACCATTTTCATTTTAGGATGGAGGAGAGGGAGGGAGCCTACAAGCTGCACGTGGAGCTCTGGGCACCCAGAAGCACAGCAATCACATGGCCAACAGAATACAGCTCATTACCCCCAGCTCACCAGAGCAGGAGCTACAACCTTGTGCTTAGCACCTGACATGGCTGCACAGTGGAGCCACTTCAACCTTCAGAGTGCAGATAAAGCACAGACACTTGGAGGCCAATGAATTTTTAGGCAGTTGCTCAAGCATTAATTTATTTTTAGGCATTGAAAGAAGGCAGTCTGGATTTTGCTGGGTAAGATTAACTGACTTGCCCTGTTGCATAGCAGAACATCAGATTTGAGAACAGAGCCCAGATTGCTTTGATGCCACGTCTTACCTGAAGGACTCATTTAAATACAATCTGGCAATTATGTAATAAGGTTATGTATTGGATACACTGATAACGTGCAGTGATGCATGACACTTCAGAAAGTTCTCCTCAGCAAAACCTCTTGCTTAGCAGTAAAAGTTCATAGAATCATACAATTTCCCAAGCTTATAAATTATCAGAAGCCACCAGAAAAACAATAGCATGGTTTGTAGGCCTGTGCATTTTGTACCCACTTCAGTAATATAAATTAGTGTCCTGAAAATACAGGATTTCTGTGAATGTCATTCAAAAGTTAAATTGGGAAACTTACAAGTTAAAATGGCATGGATAGTTAATATTAGTAATATTTTTAAATGAAGATCTTACAGTGGCTGGGAAGCCAATCCAAGTATAAAACCGGTGAAGATGCCATCAATGTAGGTTTTGTTGCTAACATTATTACATTTTTTTGCAGTCAGAGATTCAAGGCCTTGCCAAAAAGTGCAACTGCACAGTCCATCTGGTGGAAAAGTGGTTTAGGAGACGGCGAAACCTTGAGATCCCAACGGTGCTTCGGAAATTCCAGGAAGCTTTGTAAGAAGACACAACTCTTGTTGTTGTTATTGATTTGTGTTTTGGGGAAAAACAGTGTTGAGGTCCTCAGGTGCCTTCCTGGCAGGGGCTGATTTCCAGGAAGCTGGGTCTGTCTGATGAGGGTTTTGGTTTGTGTTTGTGCATTTACAAAGAAATTTGTGCATTTACAAAGAAATCTAAAGGAGTTAGTAAGGTTTCTCCAGATTTGTAGCTTAAAAATATTAGATCAAGGATTCTAAAATATTGTAATTTTCTTCACTGTTTAAAAAGGGACTTATTTGTAGGTTACTGCTACATAATGCTTGATAAAAACATGTAGAGAGTAGGAAAGCATGTCTGTGTGTGCCCATAATCATAGGGGAACTTATTCACTCTGCTTTAAATAAGCATCTGTGCTGTCATCTTGGAATAATAGTGTCCTGATGTTGGTTCAGGAGCAGGAATTGTGGCATCCTAATGAAGCAGTAGGTGTCACAACTTGAACACAAGGTACCATATGGGACATGAGCTCAAATATGTCAATGAAAGTGGGCTGTTGAGCAATTGAGTGGTACTGATGAATATGGAAAAAGTTTCAAAACTTCCTTCTGCATCTAATTACAAACCAGCAGAGCATTGAGTCTGTTTTGTCACAAATCTGTGAGAAATTCCACATACGTAAACATTTTACTAATTATTCCAGTGTTATCCAAAATCTCATATGAATTGCAAGTCCCCAAGTGAGCAGCATGGCTTTGCTTACATAGCTCATTTTTCAATAGTGAAATTTACTGTACTAGTGTAAAGTACTTTCCCAATGTCCTGTCTGCTTGGATTTTTAGCTGGTATAACTACTTTGGTAACAATTCACGTGATCATAATATTTAACCTCTTTTAGTGTAGGTTAGCTTAAGGAATGAGGATTAGAAGCTCAGAGTTGAGTAGTTTATCAAGATTATTTTCAGTGTGCATCAATATGATAATGATTTGATGATCTCCTCTGGGCATAAATCTAGTTGTTAGGCATTTAGGTGCATTGCTTTGAAACCTAACTGAGCAAACTGTCTTGGCAAATGATATCCATGTCTGCTGCTGTTGTTCTGTGGCTGAGTTAACTGTCAAGTGACAATAAGATTTCTTACTATCAGTATAAGAGCTGCCTGCTGTGGTTCCATTCTTCTAGTTACATACAGTCAAAGACAAAAATTGAAACTTGCTCAGCAGCTTAAGTTAGAATGAAGCAAACAGGTTTTTCTTGTGCAATTCTGGAGACCTTGCTTTGCTCTTTGTGTCAGTGAATTTAATTGGATTTAATTTTCAAGGCAACAGAGAAGGAACAGAGCTATCCCATGTTGGTAGTCAGCGTTATGAGCATTATGGCACTTTTGAAAGCCTGCAATCTCCAGGATCATTTTGATGAATCACAAGGAAGATGTGATGAGCCAGATCTAAACTGTACTTAAGCTATTAGTGTTCCCAGTTAAGCAACACTGAGGTTTGGAAAGGTCTTTGTGTGAAACCTCCTTGCCTTAAAAGACTCAAGAGCCTTTAAATTCACCCACTACATTATTTTTTGTTAGACTCCATTCAAGAGGAAAAAAAAAAAAATCAAGAGAAAAGATTCCTGAAGTTAAATCAGAAAGATCCTTTTACATCACTGTTGTGCAGTTCAGAGTTTATAAGGCACATGGTGCATAAAATTTTGTGAATTTGGATGAATTTCACTTGGGGCTTTGTAGACAAAATTCGTAAAGAAGCTTGGCTGAATGCAAAACGAGGTAGGGCTCATCTGGCAGTCTTGTTCAGATGACGAGTTAATCTGAAGCACTCTGAGTATTTACTGCCAAGTGCTTTGGATATACATAGTTGTAGGGCTGGGGGCTAATGGTGCAGTCAGGAAGCTGCTGAAGCATGCGTACATATTACACTGAACACAGAATCTGTTCCACGTTTATTGGACTCCTCACACCTCTCTTGCTGGAAATATGAGGAGAAATAACAGCAGAATCAGCCCGTGTGTAGTCAGTCATGTGCCACAGTGTTTTTCCCAGTATCTCTCCTTTAACTCTGAGTGAGGTATTGCTTATGAATTCCACCTTCCCCTTCCATTTGCTTTCCTAATTTCTGCTTTTTTTTTTTTTTTTTTTTTTTTGTGTGTGTGTGCAGTGGGTGTTATAAAGTGTTTTTTCCCTTCATAATCTTAGGAAAGATGCTTTAAAGTAGAAATGTACAATGACCATTTATCACCAGCCTATCTTCTGGCACTTCTATAATTGCTTTTTGACTTCTGCAGGCACGATGCATATTGACTGAGCTGGCCTCTACTGTTCCATGTACTCATTTTCTTTATTTTTCTTCTGAAACATTGGCTCAGTCTTTGAACGTGTTGTTCTTTCACCTAGGACAGCCTCCAGGTAATACAGGGCTCAGAAGAGAGGCTGCTTCTACCAGGCTCGTTGTTTCTCAAATGACACTTCGTTACCATTTGCCAAAGACCCCAAAAATCATCATTTTGATTTATCTCTCAATTCATTAGTGCCAACAATGAAAGCAGAGTTCTTGTCAAGGCTCTTTCTCCTTTTTAGCAACTCACTATTCTGGGAGGCTCTCTGCTGTTCTCCTTTGTTCTCTTGCTCTAGACAATGTTCTCACCAAGTTTGGGGTCGTGTGCCTTTCTCTGTGATTGTGACCTCTCCCAGCATGTGAAGTCCTGCAGCATTTTCCTGCTGATCTTGAAGACTCGCTCAGGGAAAGGTCAGGCTTGTTCCTGCAGAGCAGAAGAGGGCAAAGGAAGAAGTTTTCCATCACCTGTAGAGGTGGGAGTGGGAACGCTCCTACTGAGTCTCTCTAGCCACACCCAGTCCCAGGGACAGTACCTCCCACACAGGTTCCAGATTGGTGACAACACTGACTGCTGGCTCCAAATCACAGCATCCTGTTCTGACACACATAACAACACAGTTTCGGTTCACTAGGATACACAGGAGCTTTTTACCCCTTTGCTGACTTACCAGATCAGTGATGAAAATCTGAAAGTTTTATGTTCTTTGATGGATTTAAACCACAAAAACCTTACACCAAACTTAAATGCTAGTCAGGGGTTGAGGTTTATGGCTAATTCAGATCTGTGAGGTAAATATAAACTTACCTGGTAGCTGTTGTTCTATAGGGCTCCCCTGTTTTCAGCAACCAGTGTTTTGTTGCTCTTGTAACAACAACAACAACAACAAAATCAGACAATCTACTCAGCAATTGAAGCAAGTCACTGCTGACTTTGACAGTGTTGACAACATTTGATCAGATTGGGAAGTACATGCTCTGTAGCTGAAACTTTTTCTAGTGGTAGGGAGCTATGAGATGTTCAGTCCAATGTGAATATTCTAGAGCAGAGATAGAGTATGTTTGATTACAGTAGGGTAATCAAACCTACGTTTGTAGGGAACTTATTACATTTGCTATGACTGTTATCTTGATCATGTTGTGCCTGGAGAACTACTGCCATGATCTACAAGGAAGGGATCTGTGTTATATAACGTAAACTCACTTTTTTTTTAGCCATTAATCAAAATATTTGAATGTTAATACTTAGCAACCCTGAAGGTAAAGTGTGAGGGTGCATTCATGTGTAAATTATCTGTAATGTACAATGACCTTCTAAAATCTATGGAAAAAAAAATTGATACTGTCTGTAAAACAAAAATGTTCTTTTTTTCATTTCAATCTTGCAGCTGGAGATTTTCATTCTATTTTGCATCCTCCATTGCTGGATTTATATTTCTGTATGATGTAAGTATACTTTGTGAATAGTTGATATTATATTTTAAAACAGGGACTGATCTCTAGATATTAATGGCACCCATTGAAGCTCATACACTGATTTTGGTGGTTGGTTGGGTTCAGAAGTTTAATGTATATGATCTGTGCAATAGGCTGCACTGAAGTTTTAATTGGGACTTTAATTTTTACTCATGAACTTATATGATTAACAGTAAAATAAAATAATGAGTAACCAGCATTGTTAAGGAAAGTTTACAGTGTGCCTTCTTAACGCCTGAAAATACATCACATGGCCATGTTTTCTCAAAGGAAGCAGTACAACTTTTCTGGCAGCTTTTTTTGGGGTCGTAGTGCATTTTATGGCTGTTTATTGTTGTTACTCCCAACTTCTGACTCAGCAGCAACAGAGAGACTGCTCATAGCTAAGTGAGCACTGCCTGGGGTATAATTAATGCTTCTCCTGAGCAATTGAACAGTTCTCAGTGTGTCTATGTTCATCTGGCTCTCCTCCCTAAACAGTTTATCATCATGAACCAGTGCATGTGGCTGGTAAATACATCAAAATGTAATAATTGTAGCAACACATCTTGAGTAATTGCAGAGATAAAACACACCCACTGCTTTGGATGATGAAATGATCAACTGGAATGTTTCGGGTGTCCTGAAAAGAAGCCAGAAAGCTGAAACTAATATGATAAACCTGAGATCTAAGCTCTCTTTAGAAATTGCTGGAGAACAATTATCAAGAATATACTTTCTTAGCCTGCTCCAATTAGAAAATGCTTAAGTATTGAGGATTTTGAGTTAAGCTGATGACTTGTTGCTTAGCTGATCAGTCTGAATCATCTGTCTTCCCCAGAAGCCTTGGTTGTACGACATATGGCAGACGTGGGTTGGCTATCCATTTCAGGTGAGCTTTTTGGCATTGGTCCATTGGCCTCAGGGTGTTCCAGGTATTTCCCCATTGGAAGGGGTAATCTACAGAGGTGCTTCTCCCTCCCAGCAGGCATCACCTAGAGAGGTGTGGCACCAAACTCTTCTGCCACTTTTTTGGTACCTCCAGCTGACTCCTTCAGGACTTCACCAAAATGTGCCTGTGCTGCACTGCAGCCCTCCGGCCCATTCCAGTCCACCAGTTGTCTACAGCAGTCCCTCAGTTTTTGAGGCTTCAGTGTGGAATCCTTTGGCTTGCACCAGTCCTGATGATGCTTTGAGGCACTGCGGAGTAGCAGTATGCAGAGGGCTGCACCAAGCCTCCACCAAGTGTCTGCTGGCACTATTGCTTAGCAGCACAAGTGGAGGGGAGCCCTGCAGTGATGTGGTTTGGCAGAATGTGATGCCCTGCTCTGACAATCTCTGCTTGTTACTCTTTCTTTTTTTTTTTTTTTATTTTTCCCCTCCAAGTGTCACAAGGTTCTGATTTCTTCCTGAAGTATTTTAGTCATGGTCCCCTAACAGATGGCTTCAAGCAAACTGCTGCCTTGCCCACCTTTTAGAGGTTCTTGCATGCTGCTCCCTTCCTGTTTTGGTAAATCTGTGGCACATCACATTGCCACCTTCTTACTTGACTCCAAGCCAGGGGCCAAAAATAAAAAGAATCCTGCCTCCTAGCTGGGTTTTCCCAGCTCCTTTTACTTGTGGGACCTGATAAACCAGCTCACTCCCTGCCACCTGGGAAACACATTTATTTAACCAAGTGAGAAGCCAAGCTCTTTCAGCATCCTAGCCCTCTTGTGCCCTATGTGGATACCTAGGATTTTAGTGTAAATAGACGACTTTTTAGACCTGAAGATGTGTGAATATCTAAAATGTTTGTTTGCCAAAATGGAGAGCTTTGTTTATTTGCAGTTGTTTGTAATTAAATGCAGAAGCACTCTATATTGAGTTCTCTGACAAAAGCACAGAAAAAAGCACGCTAAAATTGGGGGTTGGGAAGGAACTACAGAATCTTGGAGTTTGGTCTGAGTAAAGGTTAAAATATTTGGCTCCCAGAACGTTCTTCGTAATGAAGCCCAGAACATGGATTTAGTTTATTTTTTTTTTATTTATTTATTTTTTTTAGACAGGACTCAGCAGAGGAGCACAAAAAAAAAGTGAGGGGGGAAAAAAAGAATTTGGCATTCACTTTTGCTCTTCTCCAAGTTAACTGGTTTTGTTTTTTTTAATAAAATTACTCTTTTATTTACAGACTATGCTGCCATCTCAATATTGGTACTACATGGCTGAGATTAGTTTCTACTGGTCTCTCTTATTTACACTTGGGATTGATACCAAAAGGAAGGCAAGTGGTCGTGATAAACAAGAAGTTGATAAAAGCACCGTCCTGATACTGGATTTGGTGCAGCCACATGAGGGCAGCATCAGCCTTTCCCTGGCACACCTGCACCCTTCCCTGTTCTCCTGGCTGTCAGGGTCCCTCTGTGTGTGTGATGTAGTATCCACATCCACAGGGAGACCCTCCGGAGCTGCACTTACGTGGCTCTACTTTTTGTTTTCACAGGATTTTTTGGCTCACGTCGTTCACCACTTTGCAGCCATTGGGTTGATGAGTTGCTCTTGGTGTGGCAATTACTTGCGTATTGGAACACTGGTGATGTTTGTGCATGATACTGCAGATTTCTGGCTTGAGGTAATGATGACCTTCTTCTTTAATTATTTTTTTCTTTTTTTTTTTTTTTTGTTATCACCCAGGTGATGTTCAGTGGTGTTTCAATCTTTGCCATCAGTTTCATATGCTCCCTCCCTATCCCTACAGAGATGTGGTTCTACAGTCATAAATTCTAAGATTAAAAAAAAAAAAAAACTTCCTGATAATTTAAGCTGATATTCTGTTACAGAATCCATTATGAGAAAAAAGCATAAGAGAAGTTCTGCAAAACAGTACAAGGACTGGAAATGCCTCCCTGGCTTATTCTTGTTTCATTGTTAAAGTTAGACCAAGTTGGCTAGCCTGTGAACAGCTTGTCACGATAGCAGTTCTCAAGCAAATTTAGCAGCTAAAAGCTTGGCTACTTTTTCACGCTGTCTTAATTCTGTCAGCATTCACACCCCTGTGTTGACCCAAGGGCTATGTCTACCTCATTCAGTTCTGGCTGGAGATACTCAAGCTGACTCTGAATGAGATACCACAGGTACTGGCAGAAGTGAAGTTTTTCCTTCTCTTGACTAAATATGAATGTTCAGAAATGTTTTAGGATTTCTCTGCACACAGTTCTGCAATGATGGAGACCTGCTGCTGGGTTTCTCAAAAGACAAATTTACTCTGTGGTTCCTTCAACAGCATTATTCTGGTTTTATAACACCAGGATTCAGAACATAGTTTCACAGCCTTTTTGGTGGTAGTGCCTGCGTACTCCTGCAGGCTGTTGTCTCTCATTTCTGCTCCTAATACACTTTTAGTTGTGTAGGAGCAACTATTTGTGGGGGTCACACATTTGGGGCTGGTCCCAATTAAATGCAGGCTTTCGCTGGGTTACTTCTAATCCTTAACGTTGTTCAGTTGACTGCAAGGCCCTTAGAATGTTGAACCAACAATTGGAATAACAGCACTCAGATGCAAACTGAAGTTGTCTGACTCTCAAACAGTGTTTAAGCTGTTTAAGACTGAGGCTTGGCATTTGGAGCTTGTGTTCACTCCTGAGATCAGCTGTTTTGCTTGACAGTGCCCAGGGTGATTCCTCAATGAAACATGGGGAGTTGCACGTTTCAGCTAGGGGAAAAGCAGAAATTATGATCTTAACTAGTGAAATAAAAACTGAAGCTAGGACTTCCAGCCCTCAAAGAGGAGGGTAAGAGACAGAATGCATCCACCAGAATGCTGGTACAAAGGGTCACTGCTGCTCCTGAGTGTGTAGATAAGGCCAGCAGCTTTGCTTTGAAACTGGTACAGTAGTGAGGGATGAACTTCTATTTTCAAGAGCACTTCATGTTTTCGTGATGCATCTGCTTTCATATCTCAGAACTGTTTCTTCAGCTTTTTATACCAAATCCTTTCTTTTAAGATTAAAGGAGAAATATAAACAAGAATCTGTTTTGTTGCTGCTTTATTAGGTATTAGTAAACTGATTGCTCTGTATGTCAAACAGGGAGGAAACCTTCCTGCTTAGGGAAAGATAAGTTCTTGTTTATTAAATGCAGAAGTGGACTTATTTCAGGGAATATTTGTAATATGTTTGTTTTGTGTTCAATACAGGCAGCCAAAATGTTTAATTATGCTCGCTGGGAGAAAACCTGCAATATGCTTTTTTTCATCTTTTCTATCGCATTCTTCATCACAAGAATCATCCTGTTCCCCTTCTGGTAAGCAATATTTAACATAGTCATGACCTTTTATTTCATCCCTGTTTCCGTTGAGAGGTTAGTAGTGGTTGTGATGGGTAAAGAAGAGCAGTAGGTTGTACCTTGAAGAGAAGAAGCTGGGCTTTTTCATTATTGTTTACTTCAGTGCCCATAATTTTATTTAGCATTTTAGTAAAAATACATATAGTTTAGTAAAAAAATAAAAAATAAAAAAAAATCCGGCACCTGAAAACATGCAACTCAAAGGGTTAAATCTATTATTTAACTTCATTTCATAGTTAGTAGTTAAATGCTATGAGGTCCTGTGTCTTTGAGGGGGGTGAGCTACTTAACAAAGAGGTGCTACTGTCTTTCATTCCTATCCTCCCGCTGGAGCTGCAAAGTCAGAGGACAGTCTGTCCCCTATAAGTACAGTTAATTTTTCTTCTAGTGTCTTCTTTTCAGTTCCCAGTTCTTGGGAGGTACGTTGCATCACTCCCCTTCATTGGAAGCACTCAAAAGTTAAGGTCAACCCATGAATTTACAAAGTCAGTGCACGTGAATCATAACTTGCTGAATTCTCACATGAATTTGGAGTTCTATGATTTAATCTGCTTTGGAGTACCCACACGTGTGCTTAGTGTGCTTAATGCTTAACATCTTTAGCTTTTAAAAAATGTTTAATGTGTTTCACATCCAGGGTTTCACTGATTCGCTCTGGATTACTTTCATACCCCTCCCTGCATGTGGACAAACCCTCAGAGACACAAGCTGGTTAAATTAGTAGTTCTGAACACTGATCAGCACAAGGTTTTAATTTCCTGTAGTATTCTTTTTTAAAAAGACATCAGCGTTTCTGCTTTCTTGTTATTTTTTGATTAACTGCACAAGTGATCTCCAATCATTTTGCTTCACTGAGCTTCTTGTTCTTGAGCTTGGAAGCAAAACATGATGAGATTAAAAGGACTCGAAAAGCCCAAAATAATATGGAAGAATTGAAACCTCAAGATGGACAAAACATGTGTTAATTAACAAAGAGCCCTGTTGCAAAACCTGCAGGATTTTCTCTGAATGTGGATTTCAGATTAGGGAGAATTTGAATGAAAAACGGCACAGTCTAGCTCTGTGCTGCATGTTATCTAGACCACACAGAGCCCAAGATTAAAAAATATATTTCTATCTCTATTTAGAATACTTTCATGCAAGACTCAAGTTTCTTATCTTCTAAAGTCTGCATTTAGGTAGAGATACGTAATATAGGTAAGCCACAGCTTGTTAATTCATCTGTCATCTTTGCAGAGCTTTTTAATATTTTTATGGGAAGAGTTAATCAGTTTGGAATGTGAAAGTAGAAATTGCTTTAAATAGCATAAAAAAGGAGCCCTGCATCATAACAGTGACCTTTGTTTTTTCAGGATTCTGCGTGCCACGTTGTATCAACCTACATTCTACTCCACCACTCCAGTCATAGCATATTTCTTATTCAATGGGCTGCTATTGACCCTTCAAGGCTTACATTTATATTGGGGTTACTTGATCTTCAAGATTTTGAAAAGGTTCATTTTCTTAAAGGTAAGCAATTTTGCCTCACAGAAAGATATGTGAAATATCAAACTTATGTTAGCACCTTCAATAGATTTACTTGGCATTTCTTACTGTCTTCCTGAATTTCCATGTCAGCATTCTTGTTAGGGATCTACTAAGTATAGAGATGTTCAGATGTGCTTTCTGCCTTTCAAGTTCACATTTAAGGTCACAGATCAGAATATGAAAACTTCAGGTGCAGTTTTTTTTGGGTTTTTTTTTGTTTTTTTTTTTTTTTTGGCCTGTGTCTGATGTTTTGTTCTGATGGTAAATAAGTGAACTCTACCAAAATCTGGAGCCCAAAAATGGTGTAGAACTCTTTTAATTCCTGTTTTCAAAGTGGAAGTAATTTTTTTTTTTTTTCTCCCTGGACTTTATAAGAACAATAAAAAGAATTAAAGGTGAGTGCTGAGATCTTTATATCCGACAGAAAACTCATGGCTAAAGTGCTTCAGGCTTCTCTAAATCTGAGCTTGGTGATACTTGAACATTGTTTTTGGGCTTAAAAATCCATACAAAACTGATCCAATGTTATATTATGACATAATGAACTACAGTCCTATTCAGCCATGGTATACAAATAGATCAAGCTCAAAGGTTTTTTATTTTCAAAATGGCCTTTCAAAGAGACTTAATTTTGCTGAGGAAGCCTCAGCATATTCAGCAGAGTAATCTTGTGATTATCAAGACTAAAAACATTACTGAGCTAAGTCTACTTTTATCTGAATCAGCTAATGTTGTGAAGCATCTTAAACAAATAGGGATATTCCTTTCTACCCATATTATTCATCATTTCACCAGTAACTGAAACTATCCCGTATTTTATTTTCTGGAAATAACTAGCGGTGAACTCTGCACAAATGCAATTATACACAATTTTGCTGCCCGGGCACGGACCCTATCATTTCAATAACATCCTAACCCAAGCCTCTTTGAAGTTGATGGAAAGACTGCTGCTGATTTTAATAGTACTGGATGAAATTCTAAAATAGCAGCCAATTACTCTGGCTATCACCAGAAACGAAAAAGAGCTGAATATCTTCATTCTCAGTCCAAGCTCATTCTGTTGTCTGAGTACTTCCATACCCTTAATTTGTTTATTGATTTCAACCAAATTGATAAGATACCCCTTAGAAAAAAACTGGTTGTTTTAAACAGCCTTTTTGAAAGGGAAAGTCCTTTGAGTTTTTTCTTTAGCTTTTCTGCTGATCTATTTATAAGACACAACTGTGAAGTGCAAATTGTAGATCATGGTATTTTAGGTTTGGTCTTGCTTTGAAGAGGCCTGACTAAGTGATGAAATGCAGTGACCAATTCAGTGCAGGTAGGCCTGGTAATCTATTATGATTGTTCCCAGTGGTTGAGCTTTGCCGTATGCCAGATGGTGCTTTTTTATTCCTCAACTGGTGGTAGCTGGGACTGCTTTTTGTTTTGCCTTCCACTAAATTTTGATGATTTTGACAAGAGTCTGGATGAGAAGTTTCTTGACTAGATACTTTGAAGGATGATTTTGTTGTTGTTCATTTTTTTTAATTTGTACTTTATTTAAAACTGGCTTCTCAAGAAAGCTCAGGCAGTCAAGTTAAATTTCTGCTTGATCCCACTGGCCAATCTCAGCCTCATCTGAGGGCATTCCTAGATTCATACAAGTCTTATGCAAATAATTGGATATTAAGGAGACTCACTGTCTTTCCTAGAAGAACATGGCACTTACAAGCTCTACCCTTGTTAGAGAGCAAACCGGTGAACATCAAGGAAAAATCTGTACAGGGAACATCTTGCTTTGTTCTGCTTTTAAAACATATTTTGTTTCCGTAGTTATTTATGGTCAGGCTCATGGAGTGTTAGTGTTTTACTTTCATTTCTTTTTTGACTGTGACCTTGTCTCTGCATTGAGCTGCAGTTTGTCCTTCATATTTCACTGTAGTTTGGCAGAATTTTGACATTATTCTGACTTTTGTCGAAATAGCTGTTAGGATTTGACAAAACTAGCCACATTGACCAACACATCCTGTCTGCCTCTAATACTGTCTTCAATCTCATAAAATCTCTAAAAACACAGTTTTGTTGAGAAATAAACATCTAAAGAAGGAAGGTAGAGAGGAAAGAGGATAAGAAATGTTTAGCCATTAGAACTGAGGATGTTTGACTGCAGAATAGAGAAGTTTGTACTGGTTGAAAAGTATGGGTATGGTAGTCCCACAAGAAGTGCACATGAGGCTACTGGAGAATTTGCTAATGAAAGCAGTGTGGCTGAAACAGTACAGAAAGAAACAGAAAACAAATTCCATGTGAATCCTTAAATTGTAGATGTTTGGTAACATTTTCAAAGCATTTCTGAGAAGTCAAACTTAGGGGTAAGTGGATTGATAACCTGAAATAACATGAAATTAGAAGCGGTTTGTGTTCCATATACAGCGTTCTTTGTATGCTGAGCCTGAAATAAGGGTGAGCCTTCTCACACAGCTCTTGTAATAAAAACAGGGGAGCTTCCTCTGCTTTGCAGCCGAGGAAGAGAAGGGCTTTGGCACAGTATTTCATCCACGCTGATTGAGGTTTTGTGAGTGCACTGCAAAAAGTCTTTGGATACCATGGTTAAGAAGACGTTACTAGAGCAGCCTATATAAGGCCATCCTGCCATGCATGCTTATATGCCTTTGTAAGGGGCAGAAATGCTTTATTTTGAGAGAAGACAGTTTTTGTATTAGTCACTGCAAAAAAATGGAAAAGCACCAAGCCGGCATTTCTACCATGGATTTTTCATTCCTTATACAGCTCTCTGAGAAGATGGTTTCCAAATAACATTTTTACAGTGGCAGCAGCAGCAGGCCTAGCCCTTTTCAGTCTGCATGACTTCAGCTGGCTTGCATGTGCAGCCTGTTTTCCATAGCGGTGGCAAACTTGGCTGTGAAAGCAGGCAGTGCCTCCAAAACTGTAAAGACAACTTGGAAAAGAATGGTGTTTGTAAGGCTGCATTTTTATACCAACGCATTTGTCACAGGCATACTCCACGCAAATAGCTGTTGCTATTTTAGTGAAATAGCAGCAAACCATTATACTTGTGTTAGGAGGGTTTTGTTTCTCTGCCCAAGACTTCTGAGCCCATTCAGAAGATAGGCAATTCTTAATGTTTTTCACGAAGCAAGTTAGCTACTTTAGGTGGAAAAATGAAGTCATGTTGTAAGTGGGGATAGGGACTGATGTATAGCTGTGGGAGTCTCAAAGAAGCTCAGAGCACACCAAGGGAGTCAGGATTTTATCAGTGTCCTCCATGCTTTGAGCCGCCCCTTGTTCACGCGCTCAGCAGTGACCAGCACTGCAGTGCAGCATTTACGTGGCCTGGCATCCTTCCAAGGGGCAGATGTCTCCTGGTGGCATCCTGGCCCACGTCAGCAGCCTGTCTGAAAGTCAGCAGTCTGCAGTGCATTTGCTTTGAATGGACGGTGCTGTTGTCTGCTGTCAAAGCACAGGTTAGAGGACCTGCTTGGGTCGGACGTGAATCTGGATTGACAGAAGCTCTTAATCTCAGCTGCCACCTCCTCTGCCCTAATAAAGGGGGCAATCTCCATCTCTCTGGGATAACTACTCAGCTGACTTGCTTCACATAGAAGAACTTGGAACATCGCAGGACTTCTAGCCTCCTTGTAAACACCGCAGCCAGAGATGAATGAACATGAGAGAAAAAAGGAAAGATGGGTGCAGGGTTCTGCCCCTCTGTGTCCTGCTGACTCAGGCACGGCAGTCAGCAGCAGCTGAGCTGGTGGTGCAGAGCAGCACTGCTCTGAACCTCATTGCCCAGGAATGCCCTAGCAAGTGGGAAATCCCTGGTGGCAAACTAAGCTGTGCTCAGCGACTTTGCGTTAGGAAGCTCTTTGTTTCTATGGAGTTAAACCTGAGGGAACATGAGTATTGAATTTTTCAAATCAAAGGTTGTTCTTACACTGAAAAACAACAAAAAAAGTAACAATAATACGTTAAAGGACATTTGGGTTCATGTTATGGTAGAACATTTTATGAGCCCATTTATAAGTGAGACATAGGCACGAAAACCGTTCGAGGTAAGACCTGCAGCCATTTATCTTAGATCAGTTCTGCAGTGGGAGAAAGAAAGCCGTTTTTCAGTGTGGTTTCGTTTCAAGTTAGGTCAGGCAATCGCAATTCTGGCTGCCATCTTGGTGTCCAAGGCCTTTTGTTGCTGGGAAACTCTGTGTGTTTCTGTAATATTGTTCAATTACATGGTTAAATTACCCACTTGTATCAGGTTTCACGAACCACTGAAACATGTCTAGTCATCATGTCTGCACATATGAGAATATTTTAGGAAAATTGAAAAAACATATAGAGAAGTATGTACATGTGCACTGGTTTAAAATATCTCGCCAGGAAAATCCCATGGAGATTAAACGTTTTATTTCCAAGGTCAGAAAAAGGGAGCGAGTGACAGCAGCTTATAGCCACATTATTATGGCAAATTAAGACGTAAAATATATGTTAAAACCATTACAAATTGAGTTTAAGGTTTTGAGACTACGGTGTTTTAAATCTTGAAAATATGTGTAAGTTGTAGGAAGTGGGCATGGTGTCTGCATGACTCAGATGCTTCGGGGCTGATGCAAAGTCCATCAATGGCAAAAGGTAACAGTAGGCTTTTTACAGACTGCAATGTTACCAGCAAGGTATTTTCTTACTCTTTCGTTGTTGTTAGACTGTCCTAAATTAAGGCAAAGAGCTTCTTAATAATTCAGCTTTGGTTTGTTCTTCTTTCTAAAGAAGAAAAGACCCATGAGATCCTGCACTGCTGTAGACCAGGTTTTTATGGACTTGTTGCTTTTTTAAAGAAAAACTTGAGTATTCCTTTGTTTTGCAATCATTAAAAAGGGTTTTTAAGGTTTTTTGGTTGGACATATTCTTGTCCATGGTGTATTCATTTCTTACTCAGTCCAACTTCCCAAGGGAACGGTGAGTGTTAATGTTTGAAAAATGGTGCA